GGTGAGTTTAGAGTAATTCTGATTGTGGATGTGAAGCCGTTCTTAGGGGCTGGTGGGTATGTGGGAGTCTACAAGGACTGATGAGGTGTCGTAATTATTAGGGGCTGGTGGGTATTAGGGGATTTCTTAGGGCTAGTGGGTATTAGGGATTTCTTAGGGGGTGGTGGGTATTGTGGGCTTTCTTAGGGGCTGGTGGGTATTAGGGGATTTCTTAAGGCTAGTCGGTATTAGGGATTTCTTAGAGCTAGTGGGTATTAGGGATTTCTTAGGGGGTGGGGGGTATTAGGAGCTTTCTTAGGGGCTAGTGGGTATTAGGGATTTCTTAGGGGGTGGTGGGTATTAGGAGCTTTCTTAGGGGCTAGTGGGTATTAGGGATTTCTTAGGGGGTGGTGGGTATTAGGGGATTTCTAAGGGGCTGGTGGGTATTAGGGATTTCTTAGGGACTGGTGGGTATTACCTGGTTGATGGTGTTCTGGGAGTAGTTCTACTCCCCAAGCCCGGCCCGAGGCCAGACTTGCTGAGTTTGCCAGACTTATGAGAGTTTGGTCCACCAGGCTGTTGCTTGGAGCGGCCCGCAGGCCCACATAACCACCACAGCCCGGTTGGTCAGGCACTCCTTGGAGAAAATGATCTAGTTTTTCTTGAAGATGTCCACGGTTGTTCCGGCAATATTTCTTATGCTCACTGGAAGGATGTTGAACAACCGTGGACCTCTGATGTTTATACAGTGTTCTCTGATTGTGCCCATGGCACCTCATCTCTTCACTGGTTCTATTCTGCATTTTTTCGATATCTTTCACTCCAGTATGTTGTTATTTTACTGTGTAGATTCGGTACTTGGCCCTCCAGTATTTTCCACGTGTATATTTTTTTTATATCTCGTCTTCTTTCTAGTGAGTACGTTTGGAGAGCTTTGAGACGATCCCAATAATTTAGGTGCTTTATTGCGTCTATGCGTGCCGTATATTTTCTCTGTATTCCCTCTATTTCAGCAATCTCTCCTGCTCTGAAGGGCGAAGTGAGTACTGAGCAGTACTCAAGACGGGACAACCAAAGTGACTTGAAGAGTACAACCATTGTGATGGGATCCCTGGATTTGAAAGTCATAATTTGTTAAATTCTTTACATGTTGCTTTCCTACTATGGGTACATTTGATTGTGTTTTGTACCCTGTATTATGTTTAAGGTCCTCATTTTTACCGTATGAGTACCTGGAATTTGTCACTGTTAAACATCATATTATTTTCTATTGCCCAGTCTAAAACTTTATTAATATCTGCTTGAAGTTTTTCAATGTCTTCAGCAGAGGTAATTTTCATGCTGATTTTTGTGTCATCTGCAAAGGACGACACGAAGCTGTGACGTGTATTTTTGTCACGAAGCTGTGACGTGTATTTTTGTCTTTTATCTGATATGAGAATAAGGAACAACAGTGGTGTAAGGACTGTACCTTGAGGTACTGAGCTTTTAACTGCGCTTGGACTCAATTTATATGGTTTACTGTTACTCTTTGTGTTCTGTTTGACAGAAAACTGAGTATCCAGCGTCCTACTTTACCGGTTATTCCCATTGACCTCATTTTGTGGGCTATCACGCCATGGTCACATTTGTCGAAAGCCTTTGCGAAGTCCGTGTATACCCCATCAGGTATACTAGGTATCAGGTATTCACATCAGGTGTATTAAGAATTTGTTAGGGGCTGGTGGGTATTAGCGATTTCTTAGGGGTCGATGGGTATGTTGAAAAACACAACTGGTGTGGAACATAATTTTCGTAGACAACGATGGGATCGGCATCAAGAAGCCGAGAAGGGTTCACCAAAAAAAGGATGCGCTATTGTGATTAAAATTATTTAACGAGGTGATTCTTAACGATATTTTCATCCTTCCTGGATTTATTGATTTATTTTAACCCCATCTCGGCATAACCTTCCCTCGTCCATTACCTCCCTGTGGGGCTGCCTCAACCACGGCTCCTCCCTGTGGGGCTGCCTGGCCCACGGCTCCTCCCTGTGGGGCTGCCTCGCCCACGGCTCCTCCCTGTGGGGCTGCCTCGCCCACGGCTCCTCCCTGTGGGGCTGCCTCGCCCACGGCTCCTCCCTGTGGGGCTGCCTCCCCCACGGCTCCTCCCTGTGGGGCTGCCTCCCCCACGGCTCCTCCCTGTGGGGCTGCCTCGCCCACGGCTCCTCCCTGTGGGGCTGCCTCACCCGCGGCTCCTCCCTGTGGGGCTGCCTCACCCGCGGCTCCTCCCTGTGGGGCTGCCTCACCCGCGGCTCCTCCCTGTGGGGCTGCCTCACCCGCGGCTCCTCCCTGTGGGGCTGCCTCACCCGCGGCTCCTCCCTGTGGGGCTGCCTCACCCACGGCTCCTCCCTGTGGGGCTGCCTCGCCCACGGCTCCTCCCAGAGGTCCGACCTTGACTTCCATAGTCTTGGACGCACCGACTTTTCTAACGTTTATGATGCCATAAAAGTGTAGTTTGGAGGCTGGTTGTCGGCAGTGTATGGCAAGAGGCAAGATTCCTGGGTCTGCCAGAGGCAACGCTGGTGGCCTGCCTGCCCCTTCCCGGGACAAGATGAGCCAACTGGACCTCAACACACTCGAGGAAGGAACAGGGGTATCTTGAGATGATTTCGGGGCTTTTTAGTGTCCCCGCGGCTCGGTCCTCGACCAGGCCTCCACCACCAGGAAGCAGCCAGTGACAGCTGACTAACACCCAGGTACCTGTTTTATTGCTAGGTAACAGGGTCATAGGGTGAAAGAAGCTCTGCCCATTGTTTCTCGCCGGTGCCTGAGATCGAACGCAGGACCACAGAATCACAAGTCCAGCGTGCTGTCCGCTCGGCCGACCGGCTCCCATCCATAGTGAAACAGATGAGTCAAGAGTTGTCAAGGAACTACTACAATGTACACAAATATTGTACACAAATATAATAGATTATATGAAGAAATTTAAGGCCGAGACAGTACACCGGTTTTATACTAGAAATGTGACAAGAAAAAGAATAGTAAGTGCATTACACTGTTAATATTTCCTAAAGGCTGGTCATCGGAGTTGACGCCCTGCCCAAGCACCAGCACACGCACTCGAGGACAAGCACATGCACGAGCACACGCACTCGAGGACAAGCACATGCACGAGCACAAGCACTCGAGGACAAGCACATGCACGAGCACAAGCACTCGAGGACAAGCACATGCACGAGCACACGCACTCGAGGACAAGCACATGCACGAGCACACGCACTCGAGGACAAGCACATGCACGAGCACAAGCACTCGAGGACAAGGACATGCACGAGCACACGCACTCGAGGACAAGCACATGGACGAGCACACGCACTCGAGGACAAGCACATGCACGAGCACACGCACTCGAGGACAAGCACATGGACGAGCACACGCACTCGAGGACAAGCACATGGACGAGCACACGCACTCGAGGACAAGCACATGGACGAGCACACGCACTCGAGGACAAGCACATGCACGAGCACACGCACTCGAGGACAAGCACATGCACGAGCACACGCACTCGAGGACAAGCACATGCACGAGCACACGCACTCGAGGACAAGCACATGGACGAGCACACGCACTCGAGGACAAGCACATGGACGAGCACACGCACTCCAGGACAAGCACATGGACGAGCACACGCATTCGAGGACAAGCACATGGACGAGCACACGCATTCGAGGACAAGCACATGGACGAGCACACGCACTCGAGGACACGCACATGGACGAGCACACGCACTCGAGGACGAGCACATGCACGAGCACACGCACTCGAGGACAAGCACATGCACGAGCACACGCACTCGAGGACAAGCACATGGACGAGCACACGCACTCGAGGACAAGCACATGGACGAGCACACGCACTCGAGGACAAGCACATGGACGAGCACACGCACTCGAGGACAAGCACATGGACGAGCACACGCACTCGAGGACAAGCACATGCACGAGCACACGCACTCGAGGACAAGCACATGGACGAGCACACGCACTCGAGGACAAGCACATGGACGAGCACACGCACTCGAGGACAAGCACATGGACGAGCACACGCACTCGAGGACAAGCACATGAACGAGCACACGCACTCGACGACAAGCACAAGTTTTAATCCTTATGAGAAGGATTAAAACAGAAGAGGACTGTTTGAGGCTTCAAGAAGACCTAGACAAGCTGAAGGAATGGTCGAACAAATGGTTGTTAGAGTTTAACCCAACCAAATGTAATGTAATGAAGATAGGTGTAGGGAGCAGGAGGCCAGATACAAGGTATCATCTGGGAGAGGAAATTCTTCAGGAGTCAGAGAAGGAAAAAGACTTGGGGGTTGATATCACGCCAGACCTGTCTCCTGCAGCACATATCAAGCGGATAACATCAGCGGCATATGCCAGGCTGGCCAACATACGAACGGCATTCAGAAACTTGTGTAAAGAATCATTCAGAACTTTGTATACCACATATGTCAGGCCAATCCTGGAGTATGCAGCCCCAGCATGGAGTCCATATCTAGTCAAGGATAAGACTAAACTGGAAAAGGTTCAAAGGTTTGCCACCAGACTAGTACCCGAGCTGAGAGGTATGAGCTACGAGGAGAGACTTCGGGAATTAAACCTCACTTCGCTGGAAGACAGAAGAGTTAGGGGGGACATGATCACCACATTCAAGATTCTGAAGGGGATTGATAGGGTAGATAAAGACAGTCTATTTAACACAAGGGGAACACGCACAAGGGGACACAGGTGGAAACTGAGTGCCCAAATGAGCCACAGAGATATTAGAAAGAACTTTTTTAGTGTCAGAGTGGTTGACAAATGGAATGCATTAGGAAGTGATGTGGTGGAGGCTGACTCCATACACAGTTTCAAGTGTAGATATGACAGAGCCCGATAGGCTCATGAATCTGTACACCTGTTGATTGACGGTTGAGAGGCGGGACCAAAGAGCCAGAGCTCAACCCCCGCAAACACAACTAAGTGAGTACATGGACGAGCACACGCACTCGAGGACAAGCACATGGACGAGCACACGCACTCCAGGACAAGCACATGGACGAGCATACGCACTCGAGGACAAGCACATGGACGAGCACACGCACTCGAAGACAAGCACATGGACGAGCACACGCACTCGAGGACAAGCACATGGACGAGCACACGCACTCGAGGACAAGCACATGCACGAGCACACGCACTCGAGGACAAGCACATGCACGAGCACACGCACTCGAGGACAAGCACATGGACGACCACACGCACTCGAGGACAAGCACATGGACGAGCACACGCACTCGAGGACAAGAACATGCACGAGCACACTCACTCGAGGACAAGCACATGCACGAGCACACGCACTCGAGGACAAGCACATGAACGAGCACACGCACTCGAGGACAAGCACATGCACGAGCACACGCACTCGAGGACAAGCACATGGACGAGCACACGCACTCGACGACAAGCACATGCACGAGCACACGCACTCGAGGACAAGCACATGCACGAGCACACGCACTCGAGGACAAGCACATGGACGAGCACACGCACTCGAGGACAAGCACATGAACGAGCACACGCACTCGACGACAAGCACATGGACGAGCACACGCACTCGAGGACAAGCACATGAACGAGCACACGCACTCGAGGACAAGCACATGGACGAGCACACGCACTCGAGGACAAGCACATGGACGAGCACACGCACTCGACGACGAGCACATGGACGAGCACACGCACTCGAGGACGAGCACATGCACGAGCACACGCACTCGAGGACAAGCACATGCACGAGCACACTCACTCGAGGACAAGCACATGCACGAGCACACTCACTCGAGGACAAGCACATGCACGAGCACACGCACTCGAGGACAAGCACATGGACGAGCACACGCACTCGAGGACAAGCACATGCACGAGCACACGCACTCGAGGACAAGCACATGCACGAGCACACGCACTCGAGGACGAGCACATGCACGAGCACACGCACTCGAGGACAAGCACACACAGTCGTGCACACTAACAGCTTCCAAACTCAGGTAGAGAAAAAAACCCAAGTTAACTGTGAATCAGAACTCGGTCATAAGACACGAACAGGATAATCAGAAGACAGTCGTAAGAAAGTCAGGAGCTAAATAATCAGAAGAGCAATACTCAAATGACAATTTGTTAAGACAGTCGGGTGACTGTCAGAAGACTGTGATAAAGCAGTTTGGACATAATCACAGGACATTGGTAAGCCTGTCGTAAGACACTCAGAAGATAATCAGACGGTTCTCGTGAGGCAGAAGAAATTCAAAAGATAATTAATAGTCTCTGAAACAGTCAGAAGATTCTGTCTTAAGACTGTCTTTTAAATTATCTATTAACACTGGATAACCCTCTCCAAGTATGCTCCAGGTGCGCAACATGGGGTCCCTAGAATGGTGGGGGCCCAGGGCACCTGCAGCATGGGGTCCCTAGAATGGTGGGGGCCCAGGGCACCTGCAGCATGGGGTCCCTAGAATGGTGGGGGCCCAGGGCACCTGCAGCATGGGGTCCCTAGAATGGTGGGGGCCCAGGGCACCTGCAGCATGGGGTCCCTAGAATGGTGGGGGCCCAGGGCACCTGCAGCATGGGGTCCCTAGAATGGTGGGGGCCCAGGGCACCTGCAGCATGGGGTCCCTAGAATGGTGGGGGCCCAGGGCACCTGCAGCATGGGGTCCCTAGAATGGTGGGGGCCCAGGGCACCTGCAGCATGGGGTCCCTAGAATGGCGTGGGCCCAGGGCACCTGCCCAATGTGCCCATATGTTAAGACGGCACTGATCAGCGCCATCTTGAGGTTATCTTGAGATGATTTCAGGGCTTAGAGTCCCCGCGGCCCGGTTCTCGACCGGGCCGCGGTCGAGCACCGCGACAGAAAAATCGAGGATTTTTGTTACACATCCCCAGGAAGCAGCCCGTAGCAGCTGTCTAACTCCCAGCTACATATTTACTTCTAGGTGAACAGGTGCATCAGGATGAAAGAAACTCTGCCTATTTGTTTCCGCCTCCAACGAGGATCGAACCCGTAACCTTAGACTGAATCCCGACCGCTGTCCACTCAGCTGTCAAGCCCCTGTGCAAGGCATGTGCTAGGATGCTAAATACAACAACAACGTTTAGAAATTTGAATAAATGTACGTCTTGGGCTCTAAGCCACACACCTCGACACAGTTCTAGAGTTGCGTCACTTATGAACCCATCCCTGCCCTTGTGTGGCAGTGCACATCCCTGCCCTTGTGTGGCAGTGCACATCCCTGCCCTTGTGTGGCAGTGCACATCCCTGCCCTTGTGTGGCAGTGCACATCCCTGCCCTTGTGTGGCAGTGCACATCCCTGCCCTTGTGTGGCAGTGCACATCCCTGCCCTTGTGTGGCAGTGCACATCCCTGCCCTTGTGTGGCAGTGCACAGTAGATAGTTGTTTTCACATATCCATACATTAAAACATTGATTGTAACCATGATATATATGTACTTCCACCTACAGTTTAGACCTATTGTCTTATGTATGACCCTCTGTCCTGCGTGACAGTGAATACCAGCATTATACTCACTTCAATAAGACTATCAAAATCCTCAGATTAGGCAAAATTGTAATTAATTTTGTAACATCTTTAAAATGTTATTATTAACATTTTAAAGATGTTAATAATAATAAGAGTATGCAGAATCAGCCGGGAACCCTCACCTGCTGGTGTGTGTGAGGGGAGGGCGGCGGTGCGTGCTGGTGTGAGGGTAGGAAGGGTACGCAGCCGTGTGAGGTAAGAGTATGAGGAAGAAGGTCAAAGTATGTGACGGAGATGAGAACTGTGAGGAGGGAGGACGCAGACTGCTGCGTCACGTGGAGGGAAGGTGAAAGATCTTGTCGTAAAGTTACGAGGCAGTTGAGAACGCCGAGCAAAATGGATTGTGACTTTGTCTTAATCAGACGTCAGAAGAGTGCAGGCGATGGGCTGCCTCATCAAGTCACTCTCCAAGCAACGACTGGTGCTTCAAGTAGCTGACATTTAAGGCTGACAAAGTTGCTGACGTTGAAACTGTGCGCAGAACATTTAACACATTTTAACACCAAAATTACTGGGAACTCTGTAAAATATATCAAACTGCATTCTTTGCAACATAGGCGAGATATAGACATCATAACACGAATATGGTAAACATTAAGGGGGCCTCGTAGCCTGGTGGATAGCGCGCAGGATTCGTAATTCTGTGGCGCGGGTTCGATTCCCGCACGAGGCAGAAACAAATGGGCAAAGTTTCTTTCACCCTGAATGCCCCTGTTACCTAGCAGTAAATAGGTACCTGGGAGTTAGTCAGCTGTCACGGGCTGCTTCCTGGGGGTGGAGGCCTGGTCGAGGACCGGGCCGCGGGGACACTAAAGCCCCGAAATCATCTCAAGATAACCTCAAGATTAAACAACTCTCTCAGACTGACTGCTTAGACAAGACCAAAGGGCATGACAGAATGGGTAAAATAGCCGCACTGAAAATTAAGGGTGCAATAGTGGGTACTCTGAGAGAGAACACTCTCGAACACAGAAGACCCAGAGCATTTGATCACCCGCTGATTATATGGGGACAAACTTGGCAGCGGTTCCTACGTCAGACTGCGGACAGAAGCGGCCAAGAGTCTGGTCGATCAGACCGTCAACCAGGAAGCTTAGTCAGAGTTCCAGGGACACGTATCCTTGGGACCCCACGAGCCTGATCGACCCCACGGGCCTGGTCGACCCCACGGCCCATTTAACCAGCAAAGCAATTTAATAATGCCGTGAGATGTAAGGTTTCTCAACTCTTTGGAGAGAAGAAGAACTGTTGATATATATATATATATATATACTAATATATATGGTTATGGGAAGAGAACTTCCCATAACCAAACCATCGCCAGAGAAATCCTAGTAAACAACACAGAAATCATCGATAGATACAGCGATAGCAGGCGGCTTGACGTTTGCGAGGCACTACACATCAAGAAGTCAACACCAGCAATCAACAGCCAATTATTGCACAACTATATTCTACCCACCTCAAGACTCCGCTCCAATATAGAAGCATCAAGAAATATGGACCAATAGGCTTTCTACAAACACTTCTATTCAATACCCATTGTTTCTGTTCTGTCTTGTGTTGATACTTTTAATACCCTATTAATATCCCCTCCTGTTCTGTCTTGTGTTAATGCCACATCACCCTTACCACCTCACTCAAATGTAGATATAAAATCAGAGATACGTTCTAATCAGTTGTGTATTTGTGAAGTCTTTGAAAATGTAATAAGTTTTACGAAACGCGCCCGTGTCGCGTCAGACTAGAAATAAAAATGAATTTTGGAGAAGTGATTTTTGATTTACCTCCAACAGTGAAGCGTAATGTACGAAAGATTGAGAAAATTCGTGTTAGAATTATTAATCTTACTTTTTCGGTCATATTTAATAATATATATATATATATATATATATATATATATATATATATATATATATATATATATATATATATATATATAGAAGGGAGTACCACCTCTAGCTGGAAGAAGGGGGACCCATAGCCTCGGAGGAAACCACACATAACGCATTAGAGGGAATGTTTAGATCCCCTCCAATACAGTTTCTGTGTGCTTTTCTCCTACCACCCCCTTCCTTTTTTATCTTTTGTGCTTTATTATGCATTTGATGGTTGCAAGATATACATGGGTTGATACAAAAATAATAATGCAAAAAGGTGCTTAAAGGTTATGGATCTCTTGAAAAACACAATGGGAAACATTGATGAATGTTTGATATATATATATATATATATATATATATATATATATATAGGTGCACTAAATATATTATTTAGTGCACCTAAGTTAGCATCGGTGCCATCCTGGTTCCGCCATCCTGGTGGCCGGAATCCCCCCCCCCCATTCCCAGGAGGGCAGTTAGCGTCGCTACTGATGAAGCACTCGGTCAGGGCTCTTGATCGGGAGCCGTCACAAGATGGCTGGGCGCGTCTCCACACGCTGGGTGTCATTACCTTGACCTTCCCTGCAACTCTTGCTCTAGGGTGACCTGCAGGCCGAGGGGGGGCTCTAGGGTGCCCTGCAGGCCGTGGGGGGCTCCAGGGTGACCTGCAGGCCGAGGGGGGGCTCTAGGGTGCCCTGCAGGCCGTGGGGGGCTCTAGGGTGCCCTAGCTGCAGGCCGTGGGGGGCTCTAGGGTGCCCTGCAGGCCGTGGGGGGCTCTAGGGTGCCCTGCAGGCCGTGGGGGGGCTCTAGGGTGCCCTGCAGGCCGTGGGGGGCTCTAGGGTGCCCTGCAGGCCGTCGGGGGGCTCTAGGGTGCCCTGCAGGCCGTGGGGGGCTCTAGGGTGCCCTAGCTGCAGGCCGTGGGGGGCTCTAGGGTGCCCTGCAGGCCGTGGGGGGGCTCTAGGGTGCCCTGCAGGCCGTGGGGGGCTCTAGGGTGCCCTGCAGGCCGTGGAGGGCTCTAGGGTGCCCTGCAGGCCGTGGGGTGCTCCAGGGTGCCCTGCAGGCCGTGGGGTGCTCTAGGGTGACCTGCAGGCCGTGGGGCGCTCTAGGGGTGTCCTGCAGGCCGTGGGGTGCTCTAGGGTGACCTGCAGGCCGTGGGGCGCTCTAGGGTGACCTGCAGGCCGTGGGGCGCTCTAGGGTGACCTGCAGGCCGTGGGGCGCTCTAGGGTGACCTGCAGGCCGTGGGGCGCTCTAGGGTGACCTGCAGGCCGTGGGGTGCTCTAGGGTGACCTGCAGGCCGTGGGGCGCTCTAGGGGTGTCCTGCAGGCCGTGGGGCGCTCTAGGGGTGTCCTGCAGGCCGTGGGGTGCTCTAGGGTGACCTGCAGGCCGTGGGGCGCTCTAGGGTGCCCTGCAGGCCGTGGGGCGCTCTAGGGGTGTCCTGCAGGCCGTGGGGCGCTCTAGGGGTGTCCTGCAGGCCGTGGGGCGCTCTAGGGGTGTCCTGCAGGCCGTGGGGTGCTCTAGGGTGCCCTGCAGGCCGTGGGGCGCTCTAGGGGTGCCCTGCAGGCCGTGGGGTGCTCTAGGGGTGTCCTGCAGGCCGTGGGGTGCTCTAGGGTGCCCTGCAGGCCGTGGGGTGCT